GAGTGAAATCCTGTTTAACAAGAAGGGCTTGAATGTCCATCAAATCCAATGACCATTGGGGCTGCACTGAAGAGCCACATTATCTGGGAAGCCACTTTTAATTTCACTGTTTTCCATAAGGAACGTTGTACTCCATTCATTAAAGTATATTATCTATGATGAATGGAAAAGGTTGGTTTTGAGCAATTCTCAAAGTGATTTTTTGTGAGTAATTCACTATTATTTTCTTAACTTTTCTTAACTCCCCCATTCCCATATGATGATTTTTCTCTTTGTTTTCTGCAATAGTCTTTTGTAAAAATCAATACATAAAAATACAAACATAGGATGCATAAACTAGAGAAGAGCGATTTATTTATATATAATAGGAAAATAAATATTTATAATAGGAAAGTTCTTTGCTTTGAAAATGATTTCATTCCATTTATTTTATTTTACTTTATTCTTGTTTTTTGCCATACTCTGCCATGCTTAGAGTGCTCAGAGGTCACTCTGACCAGCTGTGCTACACCCCCAAGTCTATTTTTAAAGAGAAAGAGAGTTGGAGACATTGAAGGAATGGTCTCACAGTTTTCTGTAAGTTCTGCAGCATGTGTTGGTCTTTTAGGAACCTGAACTCTCTTAGATGACTCTGTTTATCCCTACTTTAAGATAGAAGATTTGCAGATGAAAAAGTTTCATTGTCCATATTGTTTTCCAAAAAGGCTGAACCAGTCAGCATTCCCACCAGCAGTGGAGAGTCCCCTTCTCCACACACTGTGATTCATTTAAAAAAAAGTGTTCATTGTCACTTATTATCAGGGAAATAAATCAAAACAACAATGAAATATTATCTCATACTAGTGAGAATGACATATATTGAAAGACTGGAAATGAGTGTTGGTGGAAAATGGTGAGAATTCCCTCCTTTACTCTTGGCAGGATTCAGCCTCTATGGAAAACAATGTGGAGAGTTCTCAAAAAAGGAGTAATATGACCCAGTGATTTTATTTCTTGATGTCAATTAGAAAATGGAAACATTGATTCAGAAACATATGTGCATACTTGTGTTCATTGCAGTGCTAAGTATAATACCCAGGATAAGGAAATGACCCAAATGTCGAATGACAGATGGGTGTATAAGGAAGTTTGATACTTATACACAATAGGATACTATGAAGTCACAAAGAAGATAGAATTCTATACTTTGCTGAAACTGGAGGGTATCATGTTAAGTGAAAGTCAGAGGAAGAAGGACAATAGGTGATCTTATTCATGTGTGGTATCTGGAGAAACAAAAGAAGGGAATAGCCAGTATCAACTGATGACAAACACTTGCCTCAGATTTAAAAACTCAGATTGCAAAAATATGGGGTGAGAGAGAGTGTGGAACAGTTTCACTAAAAGTAGCTTAAGTACAGTGCTTTGTTGGTAATAAAGGCATGATAACTGCATATAGAAACCATAGTCAACACTACCATAAAAATATATTTTTGTATTAGTTTTTGACCTTGCAAAAAATAGATTGAGTCTTTGATTTTTATTTATATATTTATTTATTCATTTATTTATAAGCATCACCTACCCAGTAAAACACCAGTGGGCAAATTTATCAACTTTAGCCTTAGAAGTGAAGCATCTCTCTCACACATGACCAAATTTCTTGCTGGCCAAGGAAGACATTCGGTTTAGTGATGACTGCTGTGTAAAGCAAGCAAAATCACAATGAAAAGTTTATTTAAATTGTCAGTTTTGCTTGCAGTTTGGATGCACTTATTTGTATCAACCTCCAATGAGAACAAATCTTTGTATATAATTTTTTTATCACGATCACGATCACGACCACCCTGTTGTTCGTCGATTGCCTCGAGCAGGTGCCAGTAACGTCTTCTTCGTCCTAGCCCTGAGATTTTTTTTTTTAAGTGCCATATTCAAGGCTTTTTCAGGGTTAGGAGAATGAGACCCATCATTGTTACTGGTATTTGGCATATTGGGTATACCACGGGGAGTTTGCCAGACTCTGCCGTGTGGGCATGTTACATTTGGTAGCCTGCCAGTTTGACCAAATTAGGAATGAGATGATAAGATGTCTTATCTTATCTTAGCTTCCGGGAGCTGAGTGTGATGATCTCTGGATCCTGGCCGTTGTTGGAGTTACACGGCAGTTGGTGGGTGTAACTGTCTAGTTACTGGCAGGTCCAGTCCCAAACTGTACAGGCTTGGAGATCTCAGCCCCGGGTCCCACACACCTGGGTTCCTCTGTCAGTTCTTTTATGCGTGAGGCTCATCCAAGTGTGTGGAGAGTGCTCCCAGCATGGCCTTGGCTGGGCCTCGGTGATCTTCAGCTGTTGGGCCCTGGTGGAGACAGTCAGGCATAGGGTAGGAGACTCTGTCTTGTTCTCTCCCAGGAGCTGAGTGTGATTTTTTTATCATGCATCTAAAATACATGTTATTTTGCAACTGTCCAAGTTGCTTAGACTTTTTCACTCATGATTGGGGCAACACTTCTCTTCAGACAGCTACAGTGAATCAAGAAGTACGCGAACTTGATTTTAAAGGTGTTTCCTGCCTTGTTAACCCAATCATTATGAAGACAAAGGAACAGTTGGATCGTTGGTATGTTGGCAAAAGGCATTAACTTTCTTGTAAGGGTGATTTCCCACTTCAGGCATAATTAAGCCACTTAAAGACTTATCTTTCTTAGTCAATGAACTGGGAAGTCTTTATCCTTATCATGAGTGATGTTGCTCAGAGAGAACCTCAGCTCTAAATGCAGTTGCTCTTTCAGTGTAAGGTAGCTCCTACTGGGTTGCATAGCCTTTAAATCTCTAGACCCTACTAACAGTCTGGTTTATAAACCTCTAAAAATATGTACATATGTATATATATATTTATATATGTGTGTCTGTATATATAATTGTTAGTAACTCAGTAATTAGGATCTGTGATGGCTGTTTGGGAAGGTGTATAGATAAGAAATGGTTTCTTACAAATGTATAAATTCATGAGAAGAGTAACAGAATATCAAATACTGGGAGTGAATATTCTTTTCAAGATAATCCTATGTTATCTTTCTGAGAAAAGAGAAGATTGTGTATGTAGGAAGAGGTGAATAGGGTACCCAAACATCCTTGCCTTCCTTCAATGAAAAAACACTCTGTAACTCAAACTTGAGGGAAGATGTTGATGATGTATGGTGGGTGTTTTTGGCTGATTTCTTCAAGACAGTGAAGCATAATGGCTTCTCCAGGGGACCAGGGGGTGCTGATCCTGACCCTGACACTACTTCTTAAACCAGCTATGTGATCTGGGGGATCAGAGATCCATCAACTTCTTTGTTTTGTCATGGTAAAGTGGAGGTTTGGGAGATATATAGAATGTTGAGAAACATGTACCCAAACTGCCTGGGGGGAGAGGCATATAAATGTTTAAAAACATACTTTTTGAGATAATTTTGTAAAATTCAGCTTATAATATGGGTAAGGGTCAGAAGAAGCTTGAGACATCAAAGTTTCTTTGCTTCTCTTGTATTCTTTTCGACTTATATGGAGAGGACAAAGGCCTTAGAATTGGACACACCAGAGCTCGAATTCTGTATTATTCATTTTCTTCATCTGTAAATTAGATGGTGAGATAGCTCTATTCATGGAGTTAACATGAAGATCTGGCAAATTCTATTGCCAGGAGTATTGTTTTGAGTTTTGTCAAGCAAATATTTTGCTAAAATCTACCTCCCACATACATATTTTGTGTTTCAATGGAAGTACAACTAAGTTCATTCACAGAACTTTGTTTTTGAGTTGTTTTATAAGAAAATATTGATTGTGATATCACCAAATTCCATGTTTTTTATTCTCTGACATACAAAATTATTTTATAATAATTCATGTAATTGTTTTCAAGACATTTTAAGGTACAATTAATCTAAATGTAAGTTAAAATTTTAACATGGCTTCAAACCATAACTAGACATGAAATGAATGAAAAAATAATCTCTTTTCCACCAGACATATAAAAAAAACTAATCAAACAAGCATGAACAAACCCCAAATAAAAACCTGACAGTATTAAGAGTTGGCAGAGATGTGGAAAAACTAGAATTTAATATTGCAGGTGGAAATTTAAATTGGCAAAACCATTATGAAAAACTGCCAGTACTTAGAAAGGTTGAATATCTTGCTACCTTTTACCAACAAATAAATATGTGTATAAATAAAAAATGTCCAAGAATGCTCTCAGCATCTTTATTAATTTTAAATGCAAAGTGGTGAATTTATAATTGAATTAACAATTGCTTATTTGCAAAATGGAAACTAACTTTCAAAGGCTGTTAGGAGCCTTCTGTGGTACTAGTGATGTTTTACACGTTGATTTTAGAGGTATTTAACGTGGAAATATATTGTGAAAAATTATCAAGTTTTGCAGTTAAGATGTTTTTATGTATTTTATATTTTGGGAAAGGCCCACCCGTTGATCATCGATTTGCTCGAGCGGGCCCAGTAACGTCTCCATTGGAGACTTTGTTGTTACTGTGTTTGGCATATCGAATACATCACGGGTGGCATCCCAGGCTCTGCCGTGCGGGCGAGATACTCTCGGTAGCTTGCTGGGCTCTCTGAGAGGGGCGGAGGAATCGAACTTGGGTCGGCCATGTTGGCTGCGTGCAAGGCAAACGCCCTACCGCTGTGCTATCGCTCCGGCCTTTTATTTTGGGACAACATTTAGTAAGCAGTCTGTAATATTTTTAAAAAAGTTTTAATACCAAATAGTTGGTAATTTTCTTTAGTCCATAATTAAAAGATATCACAATATCATAAATCCTAAGATAAAGGCAAAGGAGAAAATAACTAATAATTTGGTACTTTTATTTGTGTAACTATGCAGGTAATAATTATGCATTTATAAATCTCTTTAGAGTGGAGAGAAACTGTGTAGAGTGGCTATATTAGGGCTTCTTAATCTTTTTTCATCTGTGTCATCTTTCCCCCTCCCCCACTTCCTCCTCCTTACATTTTTAAGAAACTACTCTGACTGCAGTCTCTTCCTCTCACTTTTCTAAAGAAAGAGAAAATGACCATCAATGGTGAAAGGCCATTGCAAGAGCAATACCTAGAACCAGCTTTCCACTCAGGAAAGAGTGCCCTGGCTCCTCTGCATGGTTTTGGGTGCTCTACAGTATGAGAGAGGCTTATCTAGTAATGAACTATAGAAATGATCCCTGAAAGTGCAAGTATTCCACCTGTGACTTCTTTTCACTGAAGAAATGCAACATGGAGACAAGCACTGCTAGCAGTGCATCAGAATTATTACACAGAGATTTTGGATTAATTTTTGGTTGTTGCACACTCAGAAATCCTTTACTCTTGCTAAATTGTTCATGACCGCCACATTCAGTTACATGAATTCAATGATAGCCTCAGTTACAGTTTGAGAAGCAAGATCTTAGATTTAGCTTGATTTTTAGTAACTTGATTTTTTTGTTAGATGAGAGAAACTCTGATTTCAAAAACCTTTCAGGTAAAGTAACTAATAATACAGAAGTGTCTATGCCACTCCATATAAATTTGACTATCATTTAATCACTTAATCACTTAACTTCCCGCTAGTCGTCAATTTGCTCGAGTGGGCGCCAGTAACGTCTCCATTTGTCCCTGTCGTGTGCTAGTGTAGCCCAATGGCATCTGTTCGCTCTGGGAACATGAAGAGCCTCAAATGTCAGAACTCCGGATTCTTTCTCTCATTTGAGTGAAACGTGAGATTCCAAGCATAGCTCTTTCTATTCCTCTTTGGGAGACCCGAATAGCATTCTCATCCTGTTTACATAGGGCCCAGGTCTCTGAGGCATATGTTAATGCAGGAAGAACAGTGGAATCAAAGAGATGTGCCTGCATCTGGAGGTTCTTCGTCCTCTTAGCTATTTCTTCGACGTTCTCGAAGGCGTTCCAAGCCGCTCTCTTCCTCCTGTGCAGCTTGGTGCCAGGTCATTTGTCATGTTGACTTCTTGACCTAGGTACACATAGCTGTTGCATTCGGAGATGGTCGTTTCATTGAGAGCGAATGGGGCATCAGGAACAAGGCTGTTTCTCATAAACATTGTCTTCGTAAGATTCAGCTGTAGTCCTACCTTTCCACACTCACAGTCAAAGTCGGCCAGCATTTGTGCCACGTGGCTGATGTTTGGTGTTATTAAAACAATGTCATCAGCAAAGCGGAGGTGGTGTAGTTGCTGACCATCTATCTTCACTCCCATTCCTTCCCATTCCAGTCGTTGCATGATGTTCTCGAGGGTTGCACTGAAGAGTTTCGGTGAAATGGTATCACCCTGCCGAACCCCTCTCTTGACTTCAATGATTACTTCTTTCCCTCTCGGAAAGACTGGCAAGCTACCGAGAGTATTCTGCCTGCACAGAAGAGCCTGGCAAGCTATCCGTTGTGTATTCGATATGCCAAAATCAGTAACTACAACAGGTCTCATTCACCTGACCCTGAAGGCTTCACCGACAGGGCAGCACTGAGAAGGATGAGAAAGGAGAGGCCGACAAAATCTCAAGGCCGACCTAGGCTGCCACAACGAAGGAAGACAAAAATGACCGTCTGTACTTTCAATGCACATACGCTAGCATCAGATGCATCCATCCAGGACCTGATGGTACAAGCGCGAATGATCAAGTATGACATCATTGGTCTGACCGAGACAAGAAGGCACGAGTTTCACCATGCCACTTTCGACACTGGAGAAGAATTGTTCCTCGGAACATGCGATAAAAGAGGTGTTGGAGGTGTCGGTGTCCTTGTCAACACAAACTTGGCCATGAGCATTGATTCATTCGAATGCCTAACAACCCGAATCGGACGTTTACATTTGAATAGATGTGGCTCACTGCCTGCAGTTTCTATCTTCGTTGTCTACGCACCAACATCTCATTATGATGAAAGAGAAATCGAGAAGTTCTACATGGAGCTGGAGAAGTTCTATAAAGAAGACCACACCTTCTACAAGATCATTGTGGGTGATTTTAATGCCAAGATAGGACCGAGAAGATCAGCTGAAGAACTTCACATCGGGACCCATGGCCTAGAATGGAATGAACAGGGTGAGAGACTGTCTGAGTTCATCATGTCGACCAAGACCATCCATGGTAACTCACAGTTCCAGAAGGCAGAATCTAAACGTTGGACATGGGAGTCTCCTGGTGGACGATTCCACAACGAAATAGACCACATCATATTCAATCGACGGTTTTGCCTGACCGAGGTCGCTGTTGTCCCAAAATTCCGAACGGGATCGGACCACCGTCTCCTTCGTGCAAAATTCTACTTTACACAGCGGGGAGAAAGGGCTGCAAAGTTTAAAAAGAGAACTCCCAGAACGACCACCAACTGGGAGCTCTTTGGCACTATTGCGGCAACATGGGAAGATGCCATTGTTGACAATATTGATGAGGAATACGATAGACTGGTACAGCACTTTCATGAATGTGCGAGGAATGCCAAGAGAGAGAGATAGCCACAAAAAAATGCCTGTCTTCGAAAACTCTTGAGCTTATTCGCCAGCGTGGTTTGGCTCATGCCTCAGGCAACCGCAAGCTAACGTCCGAGCTCACAAAGCAGTGCAGAGATGCAATCAAGGAAGACCTCAAAGAGAGAAGAGCAGAAGTGCTGGTAGATGCGGCAGAAGCCGAGAAAAGTATTCATAACGCCTGCCTGTCCTTCGCCAACTACAAGACCAAGATGACTGCCCTCCAACGTCCTGATGGATCCATCACATCCTCTGGAATGGCAATGGAGAAGATTATCCATGACTTCTACTCAAATCTCTTCGATAGCCATGTCCACTTGCCAACATACCAAATTCCACAGGATGGATATGTCATTCCCAACGTTCTCCCTTCCGAAATCCGACATGCCATTTTGTTGGTAAAGAAACGAACAGCACCCGGCCCAGACAAGGTCAGACCTGAACACCTGAAGAACCTGCCGTCAGTATTCATCAATACACTGGCTCGGCTCTTCACATGTTACCTGTCTGAATGCAAGGTTCCGTCCCAATGGAAAACCAGCAGGACCATACTACTGTTCAAGAAGGGAGACATCCATGACATTGGCAACTATCACCGGATCTGCCTATTGTCTGTCATCTACAAGTTGTTCACTCGAGTCATCCTAAATAGGATTGGCAGAACACTAGATGAAGGACAACCATGCGAGCAAGCAGGGTTCCGCAAAGGATTCAGCACCATCGACCATATCCACCCGATAACCAAGCTCATTGAGGTTTCTCGGGAGTTCAAGATGCTGCTCTGTTTAACATTCATTGATTTAAAGAAGGCCTTTGATTCTGTTGAGACGGAAGCGGTCATTGAAGCCCTAGCCAATCAGGGCATTCAAGCCCAATACATCAAGATCCTTCGTGAGCTGTATTGCGGATTCACTACTAGGATCTCACCATCCTACAATTTGACTATCAGTAGTAATAAATGAATTCCCAATGTGTCTGTTGACATTTATGACCTTCTCATGAATGTAGAATGCTGGACACTATCTCCAATAACATTCAAGAGTGTCTTTGGGAATGAAATGTCCTTTCACTGACAATTTGACCCTCAATATCATTTTTAGTAGACTTGGTTGCTTCAAATATTCCCCTTTGTTACTTTTCATTTTTTTGTTATTTTTCATTGCTTTGTTTTAATTTTCTCTTTCTTTCTTTCTTTCTTTCTTTCTTTCTTTCTTTCTTTCTTTCTTTCTAGGAAAGAACTGATAAAATCTCAGCCCAGGACAAATGAAGATCCTTCTGACTGTGAGTTGTTGGGCTTGTTTCACTTTTGTTCCTTGTTGATTGAGTTAGAGAATTGTGGCATAATTCTAGAGAGGTGGTAAGGTCATAATCTTTGGTATTCTTCTGAAAGCTTTTCTGGCCAAAAATGAGTTAGCGTTTGTAGGCAAGAAAACCATTTCTTTCTTGTTACTAGTTGTTGTGTTGTCAGGAGAGATGATACCTGGAACAGTTGTAAGCAGAGGAGAGAAGGAGAATAAAACATTGGCTGAACAACATATAATAAAGAGAAGGAAGAAATCTGAGTCCTTAAAGAAATGAAAGAGTTAAGCATAATATCCTGATCTATCACCAGTCTTTCCATTAAGGGATTTAATATATTTTTTTCATTGTTCAAATCATTTGAAGTTAGGCTTTTCTTATTTGCTTCCTAAAGCATGTTATCTGTTAAAAACACATTGCATTTTAGCAGCATGTTGATGTGCTAAGAACTCATACAGAGAAAATTAAATAAACAAGGTATTAAATTAAGCATAAAAGTATGAGCAAAATTATAATTTATTGATGAATTTTATCTACAGAAATTCTGATTCTGTTTTTTTTTTTGAAGGTCTGATTCTAAAGGAGGAGGTTGGCAGGCAATGTCTTAAGCTCTTGGAGAAATTTGATATTGTTTTGTCTTTGAATACAGTTCCTCATTAGTGAGGTACCTAGAGTTGAATCGAGTAGAATATTGGGAACAGAAGCAAAACCAGCTGTAATTTTGAGAGACTATCTACAATCATACATTTTCCTGTAATCAGAGCCGTTAGACTTTAGAGACCAGAATGTACCTGAGTTTATAAAGGATGTCAAATGACTTAGCATAAGGGAGAGTAAGCAGAGAATGAACCACTTCTGGGTCTCAGAGCTACAAGCACATTGCCAAGTGGAGATGGAATTGCAAAGAACTTTAGTATCAGTTTTTAAATACTGGGAGGGGAGAAGGGGCATGGAGTTGGTAACTTCTTTTAGTGCTGTAACTAAAGGCAGACTAGTTTTAGTGCATTGGATTAAAAAAAATGATTGTCATTAAAAGCAAACCAAGTACAATATTTATAGCACCTGCCTTACTTTGAGATAAAGTCATTATTTCAAGTAAAATTTAGTACACCTAGAATTTCTGGAGAGTTCCCAAGGCAGAGAACATCAGTTTTTGTTGTTTGAAATCACAGGTAGTCTTCCTGTTTTCAAATTTTATTGGAAATAAAATGCTTTTAAATTTGAACTTTTGATGCTGAAAGTTGAATGGAAAATGAGACTTTTATGTATTTGAACCACTGCCATCTTATTGACATGACTAGTATTTCTATATTATTTTGTCCATGTTAGAGGGGAACTAGATATTCCATCTTTGCTCTTCTGGAACACATCTCTGGAAATACCTTTCTCAAAACACTCTATGCCTGGCTTGAGAGA